GGTTTTTGAAAACTGAGTCAAAGATATTTTGGGAATCGTTTCACATATTTTATATTACACTTGAATTTCCTGTTTCTTGAGTTTAGTATTTTGTTTGTTATAAGACTTATAGGAAATAATTAAACAAATTTTCTCAATGAGAGAGAGTCTTAGAGTTATCGTGTTTTTTGAATGCCTTTGAATGTCTCCTTCAGAGTCTTGACCAAAGTTTCTAATTGTTTAGCCGGCTTCTGATGTATGACAGACAGTTACTAAACAGCTGCTGTCTGTTTACGCTCGCAAAGCTAGTCTAGGTGCTGTACAAGCTCTTCCGCTTCCAGTTGAGCGACGATAAGGTTCAGCTCGCGATGCAGACCTACGAGATGGTCGACAAACACATCCGCAGACTCGACACAGAACTNGTCGACGACAGACAAATGCGAGCGTTTCGATCAGATCCACGACATGTTCGAGAAGGCGAAGGTCTTGAGCGACGATAAGGTTCAGCTCGCGATGCAGACCTACGAGATGGTCGACAAACACATCCGCAGACTCGACACAGAACTCACCAAATTTGACAACGACTTGAAAGACACACACATCACCACTCAGATCACCGACACCACCCCTCACGCCACCGATGAGGTCAAGAAAAAGGGCAGAAGGGGTGATAAGACTAAGAACACGGGCTTTAATCCTAAACATGTTATCAAAAATGAATCGGAAGGGAAGGGCCGCAAAAAACAAGACATTAAAATGACGGACACCATAGCCTTAGCCAACACATCGGTGGCCTCCGTTCTGCCGGCATTAATGGCCAACGCAGACATCGGCCTCGATATGGCTGTCGATCCCAGTAATGGATTGATTGTTGAATTAGTCTCTCAAATGACTAATGATGTATTGAATTGCATTACAGATGAGCCCACGTATTGTCTCTGTCATCAGGTCTCCTATGGAGAGATGATTGGCTGCGATAATCCCGATTGTGTAATGATTGTGTAAAATTGGAGTTTTATAGTAGTCTTTTACAAAACCATATTATATATGGAAATTCATTTAATCACATATTTAGCTATGATAAATATATAATACTCTATTCATTTTTAGGTTTTTATGTGTCACTCATTTAATATCGATATTCATATATAGAATCTATATTATGGATGTTTGTAAAAGGCTACTATAAAATTTCAATTCTCATATAATCTATTGCAAGATTTTGTATTAATTGATTGTCTGTTTGTTTGTTTGACAGCCCATTGAATGGTTTCATTTTGGGGTATAATAATTGTTGAAAATAGTATTGTGAACTGTCTTATAAATTGTAATGTTTATACCTCTAGTGCGTGGGCCTGACTATTAAACCTAAGGGCAAGTGGTTCTGTCCGAAGTGTGTGACCGAGAGGAAGAAGAAGTGAACGAAAAGTATTGCATTTATTTGTTTAGTTATTCATTACCTGTAAATCACTCTAAATTTAAAGCTAATCTGTTACTCGAAAGCAATTACTTGCAAACAATAACACAATATATTTATAAACCCTTTCATGCATTCTCACAAAACTACTGCAGTTAATGACTAGCGATTTAAACCATTAATTTCTTATTGTAATGACTGGTAGTCATAACTATAAGTGTATTTAATTAAGAGACAATTATGGGGAATAGTCTTAACAGTGCTTTCCGAAGACTTAAAGCGATCTAAATATGTTTGTTATGTCAAGTAATCTCTAAAATGTTTAATCTCATGAAAGCACACATACTTTGTATATGTGCTGCAAGTCTTGACCTGAAATAAGGTTAGGACTGAGAGATGGAAATCAAATATTTTTTTAAAGCAACGCCAGAGGAGTTTAGAAGTAATTTAACGTTAACTTACTTTATATGTAATGATGCGAATGAAAAACAGTATAAAAAGCAATACTGAAAAAAATTATGCGAACAAAAAATGAACGTTTTTTAAATAATTGATTCGTTCACCCATTTATTCGCTGTTGAGAGTCTTGAGACCCAAAAACATAATTTTACTTTCGTTTAGAAACCTGTGAACAGTCAACACATCCACGACTATACCTTACATTCATGTGTAAACAATACCTCAAAAGACTTTTGATTTCACTTCAAATATTTTAACAATTTTTATGTTTATTTACACAATTTGTAAAATATCTCTATTTTCTATGAGTTTATCATTTCAATAAATGACTGTATAATGTGTGTGTTGTGTAACTTATTATGTGACTAAATCTAAATGCAACTAATTTTGTACAAATCATAAAAATGCTGTTCAATGACACGCGTTATAACAATCATCACATCATCTCAAGAATCGGTGCAAAGAAATGGTCGACAAATTGGAAGGAGTTCTCTGGCTTTCCGTTTGCCTTCAAATTCGAAGATAACTTCCGAACCACTCACGAGGATAAACAGGAATGGCTTAGAGATCACTGGCACTACTCCATATACATCAGCATTGTGTACGTGATATTAGTTCATGTGCTCCAGAATTGGATGAAATCCAGAGAGAAGGGCTTTAATTTGCGCGCACCGTTAGCCCTGTGGAGTACCGGGTTAGCCATCTTCTCCATTTGTGGTACTGTTAAGTGTTTGCCTGAATTTGTTCACATCCTATGGACTAAAGGAATATTCGCTTCGTTTTGTGAATCGTGTTATTATGAAGTTTGTAATCTATTATAACTTCACTTACTATTGCTTTATTACCAATTATTATTGTCTACTGTACTTGCTCTATCAAGTTTAGTTGTAAAGTAGTTGTTCAATCATCAGTTTATAGTTATATATACAGTATATATAAAAGTCTCAAGATTAATTTCACCTAGTATGATTCTATTTATAATGCAATTTAGTCATTAGCCTTATTGTAAAAGATATAAAATTCAATAATATCTCTATATGAAAAATTTAAACATTTAATTGTGAAAACTAACTGAAAAATTTTAGAACTATAATGTGCAATCATAAAGTAAGACTGTTACAATATTAGCTCATTAGTTATTTTAAATACCGACAATGAGACAAACAGAAAACATAATCTGTTTTTAATACATAGC